GAAGGTCACAGGTTCAAATCTCTGTGTACGATGCTAGCACTAGCTGCTGCAGGAGCAAGGAGGACAAGAAAAGAACAACGACATCAGCAAGAATCAGTAATGGGTGCAGCAGCACGGACGTCAGCAATAACCTTCTAAGTGGAGGGTCACATCCCCGGCCTCGATCACTTGTGTTGTTAATGAATTGCTCGTGTTGTAAAAAAAAAAAAAAAAAAAAAAAAAAACTCCGTACGGTGCTGGATTCTTTGCGAGAGTGGCCCAGTGGTTAAAACTGACATCAAGTTGAAGGTCGCGGGTTCAAATCCTCCAGGATGCTAAATTCAGTTTGAGCAAGTAGGCCGAGTGTTTGGAAGTGACAGACTGTCAATCTGGTGGGTAGAAGGAACAGAAGCTAAAGCTGCTGCAGGAGCAAGGAGAACGACCACCATGGGAGCAGTGAGAACCAGTAAATGGTAGGAGACGGAAGCAGTGATGACTTCAACGGTAATAGGAATGGCACCAATAGCTGATGCAGTAGCAAGGAGGAGAACAACAAATGGCAGCAGCAAGAATCGGTATCTAAGTTGAAGGTCACAGGTTCGAGTCTTGCAGGATGCTGAATTCGTGGTGAGAGTGGCCGAGTGTTTAGAAGTGACAAACTGTGAATCTGTTGGGTAGTAGGAATAGAAGCAATAGCTGCTGCAGGAGCAAGGAGGAGAACACCAAACGGGAGCTGCAAGAATCGGTGAGGACAGTGACGAGATGGCGGCAGAGGTGGAGGTAATGTCGACAGCAGCAGCAGCAGCAGCAGCAGCAGCAGCAGCGGCAGTGGCTATGGCAGAAGAGCCAGGGATGACAGCAGCAGCAGCAGCAGCAGCAGCAGCAGCAGCAATGACGTAAGGGGTGATATCGCAAGCAGCAGAAGAAGGATACCTAGCCCATGTCGCTGAATGGTACACACGTGTAACTGTTAATGTAAACAGGCCATGAGTTCGAGTCCTGATCGAATCAGATGGATATAATAAGGTTAGGGCTTACGCTCTTCCAGAAAAAGGAAAAGTCAAAAGCCATCGACTACGAAGCAGGAAGAGCAACATCGGCCAATTACATCCATTAGCAAACTCAGCAACAGGAAAGACGACAGCGGCAACAACTGACAATAGCATGACCATAGCCGCATGGACAGCTGCGACAACGATAACGGCAAGAACAGTGCAGGCCCCTCAGCAGCAGCAGCAACAGCAGCTACAGCAACAACAACGGCCACATCAACGAGGTCAGCAGCTGTAATAGCAGCAGCAGCAACAACAACAGCTATAGCAACAACGGCCACAGCAACGAGGGCAGCAGCAGCAGCAGCAGCAACTGTAAAAAGGCATCAGAAGCGGTGTAACGGAGACAAGGAAAAAGCTTACGGCAGGAAAGACGTCAACATCAGTTTCAGGCGTCACAGACGATTATTGTTATCAACATCAGCAGGAGGGAGTGAAAAACTTCAGTAGCAGCGGCAGCAGCAGCGGCAGGAAAGGCATCAACATCAGTTTCAACCTTTCAGGCTTCAAGGACGATTATCTGTTACTATATCATGTAAAGGCGATCCCGTTTTTTGTTGTACAGAAAAAGTTCGGAAAACAGTTCTAATGAATCCGACATAGTAACCTCTTGTGCTCTGTGCTTGTTAACAGATTCAATGAATCCTTCACAAGTGCGGAGGAGACATTCCAGATAGTGTTCGCGCTGCAAAAGTGGTATGTGCCCTGCCCTTCACTCTTTTTTTTTTTTTTTTTTTTTTTGTTTTTGTAATTTCTCATGAACTGTTGTTCGGAATCACCCACAATTAGACATTCTGATGCAACCCGCGTGATCATACTTTAAAATTTAAATATAAAAAAGAGCGAAGTACGTTTATGTCACATCGGAATTTCATAGGGGGCAGAAAAAACATGCGTCAGCAAAGAAACCAGGCGCGAGTATGAAAAGGGCAAAGAAAGTACTGCGGCCGTGGTGTTGGGCCGGGTGTCATATTTTACGGGGTTGGCCGTGGTGTTGGATGGGGGGAAAAAAGAAGAAGAAAAAAAGGGGCCCAGCGGATTCTTTTTGACCGAAATTGCCGTTTCGAAGTCGGCATGTGATTTCTTTGCCGGTGTTTTTTTTTTTTTTGCCTTTACGAAGTCAAAACCTGCCATGTCTGCTGGTGTTTCATGTAAAAAAGAACGGTTTCAGTGTGCCTCATGCTGTCTTCTCTTGTCCTCATTTGTTTTGTAAAGCCCGGTCCTTTAGTTAACTGGGGGATCATCTCTGGTGGCCCTGGTGGTGGTGGCCTGCTGGAGTCGCGTCTTTTCACGTATTCTCATTTCGCGACCGTTCACGGTTGACCTACCCCACTTGGTTGACGTGTTGTATTTGAATAAAGATGTTTGGTGATGTATCGTAACAGCATCAGCGTTTTGGTTTCGGCCCGAGTGCTGTGTGACTGTTTCACGGTTTTCCGAAATAATCCTTTATTTGATATATATGTCACACTGTAAATCAGAGCGCGAAGGCGGAAAAAAGCAAAACAAGGAAAGGAAAAGAAGGAAGGAAGGAAAGCCCCACCTGTTCATCACCTCTTACGTACAAGGTCAGCCACGTGGATGACAGGTTGAGCGCTGGCTGCCCCCATCCCCGTGTGTCACAAGGACCCACTTGCACGCAGCCAAAAGGCAAAGAGGTAAAGAAAAGGAGGAGGAAACCAAACCTGA